TGCCGTATTATTTTAGATAGGCTTTTTTTTCTGAAGCTTCTTTCAGCCTCTGAAATCTCCATTTGCGAGGCTGGGCGGGGCTACATTCGGAGTATAAGATGCACCCAGATTTTCACCCTCTTTTTGGGGGGGGGGGGGAAAGGTGCATCTTATACTCTGAAAAATACGGTAATTCTTTAAAATCCTTTTAATTTTTGTCATTCCCATTTCATTCTGTCCCGCCTTTGACACCCTTTCTTGGATGACTCTATTCCACTATTTCTTCAATATTATATCATTTTTGTCCTGTGGCAAGTTGTCGCACAGTGAATTGGCCATGGGGAATTGTCTCAGCCGAGTTTGCTGCGGGGAGTTGGCCATGGCATATTGTCCTAGATTCATTGTAAAATGGTAAAGGTTCCCCTTGCACATATGTGCTAGTTGTTCCCGACTCTAGGGGGCGGTGCTCCTTTCCGTTTCAAAGCCGAAGAGCCAGCGCTGTCCGAAGATGTCTCCGTGGTCATGTGGCCGGCATGACTCAACGCCAAAGGCGCACGGAACACCGTTCCCTTCCCACCATAGGTGGTCTCTATTTTCCTACTTTCATTTTTTTTTACCTGCTTTTGAACTGCTAGGTTGGCAGAAGCTGGGACGTGTCACGGGAGCTCACCCCGTTCTGCAGCGCTAGGGATTCGAACCGCTGAACTGCTGACCTTTCGATCGACAATCTCAGCGTCTTAGCCACTGAGCCATCGCGTCCCTTATATACATTAGGTAATGGTAAAGGTTCCCCTCATACATATGTGCTAGTTGTTCCCGCCTCTAGGGGGCGGTGCTCATCTCCGTTTCAAAGCCAGGGAGCCAGCGCTGTCCGAAGATGACTCCGTGGTCATGTGGCCGGCATGACTCAATGCTGAAGGCGCACGGAACGTCGTTCCCTTCCCACCAAAGGTGGTCCCTATTTTTCTACTTGCATTTTTTTTACATGCTTTCGAACTGCTAGGTTGGCAGAAGCTGGGACAAGTCACGGGAGCTCATCCCGTTACGCGGCACGAGGGATTCGAACCGCTGAACTGCCAACCTTTCAATCGACAAGCTCAGCATCTTAGCCACTGAGCCACCTTGCAGGCCACCTCTAATCCAAGCGATGCCCTTTCCCCAATCATAAACAGCTGTAGAGGCAGTTCTTTCCCCCCCCCCTCCCCCCAGGCTGACTTACCTGCCCTCAACCAGCTATAGGGCGGATGCCAAGACCTGGCAGGAGAGTGGGAGAACTGGTCCTCTCAGAGGAGCAGGGCTGCGAAATCCGCCCCACTCCAGAATCAGCCCAGGAATACCAGGCATTCCAACTTCCCCCCACCCCTCATCCACCCCCTGCGCTCTGAGTCCGTCGTTGTCACGCGATGCTGTTACATGACACCGGAGGGATCTTTCCATATGTGAGTAAATGCTTCAAAAGATTATTTCGATTAAAAGATCATCGGGAGGACGGCCAGCTGCAAAACAAGACGCCCCACCCTGAACCTTTATCACTAGTCCTCGACTTACAACGATTCATTCAGTGGCCGTTCAAAGTTGCAGAGGCCCTGAAAAAATGGACTCAGGACCGCGTTTCACGCTTAACGACCTCACGGTCGCATGATCAAAATTGCAGACGCTTGGCAAACCGGCTCATATTAATAATTTCGCAGCGTCCCGGGGATGTGTGTCACGTGATCCACTTTTGCGTCCTTCTGACAAAGTCCATGGGAAAAACAGATTCACTTAACAACCTGGGTCGCTAATTTAACAACAGCAATGATTCGCTTAATGACGGTGGCAAGAAAAGGTCATAAAACAGGGCAAAACTCACTCAACAAAGGTCTCGCTTAACATCAGAAATTTTGGGCTCAATTGTGGTCCTAAGTCGAGGACTACCTGTAACACTTTTAGCTATACGTTCTCCTGAGGCCCATTTCCAAATGGCCTTGTGGATTGGAAAAATAGAACGTCAGAGCTAGAGATCATCTAGTCCAACCCACAGGTCTTCTTACTACCTCAGTATTTATTCGTAGTAGAATATGGGACCACCCAGCCTTTTTCCACGTTTCTGCTGAAATGTTAAGCTTTAAGAACAGAGGTTAGAATGCACTACCTGCTCACTGCCAGACGTTTGATACTGCTCAAAGTTGACTCAGCCTTCCATCCTTCCAAGATGGGTAAAATGAGGACCCAGATTGTTGGGGGCAAATTGCTGACTCTGTAAACTGCTTAGAGAGGGCTGTAAAAGCACTGTGAAGCGGGATGTAAGTCTAAGTGCTATTGACCTTCCTTCCTTCCTTCCTTTCCTTCCTTCCTTTTCTTCCCTCCCTCCCTCCCTCCTTCCCTCCCTCTTCCTTTCTTTCCCTCCCTCCCTCCTTTCCTTCCTTCCTTCCTTCCCTCCTTCCTTTCCTTCCTCCCTCCCTCCCTTCCTTCCTTCCTTTCCTTCCTCCCTCCTTCCTTCCTTCCTTTCCCTCCCTCCCTCCTCCCCTCCCTCCCTCCTTCCTTTCCTTTCCTTCCCTCCCTCTCTCCCTCCTCTTTCCTTTCCTCCCTCCCTCCCTCCTCTTTCCTTTCCTCCCTCCCTCCCTCCCTCCCTTCTATTGTAAACTAGCCAGAGAAAATTCATTTTCAACACATCATCCTGGGAAGGATTTCTCCTTCCTGGTCACCAGAGGGCGCTCCTGCCCCATCCTCCTTCCAGGACCCCCACAGCCAAACCCTGCTGAGCTCCCACAGGATGCTTGGGGGAAGATTTCCTCCCACCCAGGACCAGTGGATTCACCTCTGGACACCTAAAGAACAAGAAAAGAAACTCAAGGAGACGGTCGGTCCACCAACGAGAGAAGATGCCAAGGAAATAGCAGAGCCGAAAAGTCCAACGGGGAAGCCAGATTCGCTTAACAACCGTGCGACAAATTTAACAATGCAGCGATTCACTTAACAACTGCGGCACGAAAAGTGGTAAAACTCACCTTTCCGGGGGGCTCAAATGTCGGGCTCAATGGTGGTCATAGATCGAGGACTACCTTTCAGATAAATGGCTGTCCGGGCTCTTCTTCAACACCTCCAGTGACGGAGCCCCCACAACTTCTGGTGGCAAGGCGTTCCACTGGTTAATTGTCTTCCCTGCAATTCCAATTCCAGGTTGCTTCTCTCCTTGATTCGTTTCCATCCGTTGTTGCTTGTCCTGCCCTCTGGGGCTTTGGAAAATAAGTTGACCCCCACTTCTCTGGGGCAGCCCCTCCAATATTGGAAGAGTGCTATCATGTCCCCCCTAATTCCTTCTTTCCTCTGGCCAGACTCCGTTCCTGCAACCGGTCTTCATTATGTTTTAGCTCCTAATCATTTTAGTTGCTCTTCTCTGCACAGGGGCCACCAGCCTTTTCCGTTAAAGACACAAACACACTCACACCCACACATCTTCTCCCCTCTGGCCATGCCCTTTTCAGCCCCTGCCCCCCCTCCTCTCTCTCTCTCTCTCTCCCCCCACTTCCTCTCTCTCTCCTCTCCTTCTCTCTGCCTCCCACTTTCTCTCTCCCTCTCTTCTTCTCTCTTTCCCCTTTCTACCTCCCCCTCTCCCCCTTCCTCCCTCTTTCCTTCTCGCTCTCTTCCTCTTGCTCTCTCCCCACTTCCTCTCTCCCTCTCTCCTCTGCTCTCCCTCTCCTCCCCTCTCTCCTCTCCTTTTCTCCCTTTCTGCCTCCCACTTTCTCCCTCCCTCTCTCCTTCTCTCTCCCTCTTTCTCTCTCTCCCCCTTGCTCCCTCTCTCCCATCCCACTTCCTCCCACTCCCTCTATCCTTCTCTCTCCCCCCCTTGCTCCCTCTCTACTCTCCTTCTCTCTTCCACTTCCTCCCACTCCCTCTCTCCTTCTCTCTCTCCCCTTCCTCCCTATCTCCTCTCCTTCTCTCACCCTCTTTCCTTCTCGCTCTCCTCTCGCTTTCTCCCCACTTCTCTCCCTCTCTCCTCTGCTCTTCTCCACCCTCTCTCTCCTCTTCCTCCCTCTCTCCTCTCCTTCTTTCCCTTTTCTTCTCTCTCTCCTCCTCTCCCTCTCCCGCACTTCCTCTCTCTCCTCTCCTTCTCTCTGCCTCCCACTTTCTCTCTCCCTCTCTCTCCCCCTTCCTCCCTCTCCTCTCCTTCTCTCTCCCTCTCTCTCCCTCCCACTTTCTCTCTCCCTCTCTCCCCCTTTCTCCCTCTCTCCTCTCCTTCTCTCTCCCTTTCTGCCTCCCCCTTTCTCTCTCCCCCCCCTCTTCTTCTCTCTCCCCCTTCCTCCCTATCCCCTCTCCTTCTCTCTCCCTCTCTCCCCACTTCCTCTCCCTCTCTCCTCTGCTCTTCTCCACCCTCTCTCTCCCCTTCCTCCCTCTCTCCTCTCCTTCTTTCCCTCTTTCCTTCTCCC